GGAGGGGAGCGCGCCCGGTGGGCGCACCGAGCGGTGGGCCCGGAGGCGAGATCTGCCCCCGCCGCCTGGCAGCTGCGCTCAGCGCTCGCAGGGGGAGCGGCCTTGCTGCGCCCCGCTTCCTTGGGCTCATGCCAACGCTGAAACAGTTTTGCAGTTTTATGCCGTTTGTCCTTTTTGGCTGTTTCCTGTATTCATCCGTCTCTCCATGCACGTTATTTCTTGTTTTGTACAACAGTATTAGACTGCTGAGGCAGAAAGCTGTCTTTATGTGATATCTAAATATGACCAGTTATTATCTAAGTAATGCTCTGTCATAAACGTTATTTGTGCTACTACAAACCTAATGTAGGTAATTATGCTAGACACTAGACCACATTATTTTAAGTTTATAGCAATACTTCATTGTCATCACTTACTAGCTGTTCCTATGATACTAATTTAAAATAAATGATCGTTTCAAGTACTGTACAGACAGAAAAAAAAAGGATCACCTTCCGCTCCATAGAGCTTAGAATGAAAGCAGATAGCAAGGTACAAAGTACAGGGACACAGGGACCGTCTGCTTTGACCACCTTACTTCATCAAAGATGTGGACTTACTGGAAAAGGTCCAGACAAGTTCAGATAAACAGACTTAGAAAATACAGTTTGTGAGGAAAGACAAACAATTGGATTTATTTTGGCTACAGAGAAGACAACGCTTACCGTTCTGTAAGATACAGTGAGTTGGTTTAACATCTTGCCTCTGGGAGAAGAAAAAAAAAAAAAAAAAAGAAAGATCCTGCTCTTTCTCTTTTATTCCCATCATGCTTGATTAAAATAAGTAATACTCTCCAGCTGTTGATCTTCTGCTGACTCCCGTGCCTTTGGACTCTTTCATAAGCCACATCCATTCATCAAAATCTAGGAGAATTATGCTAGCAAAAGGTTTTCTGAGTAGAGCGCACTCAAGGAGAGAGGTCTGCAGAATGCTGCAGCTGGTGCAAAAGATGAAGCAGAGCTGTATGCCTGGGAACAGTGAAGAAGAGAGCAAAGCAAAAGCTTTCTTCTGTTAGCAGCAGTGAGTTATTACTTCTGCATAGCTGTCCATAAAATTCTTGGGTTCTGGACTCACCTTAAAGTTACGGCTTTGTGAAACTCCGCAAGCCAAACTCACAGTTTCCTGACATCAGAATGCAGAATTTATGCTGATTCTTTAATTTTGCTATGTTTTATGTTCATTGATTTTCTTTGTAAGCTGGTTTAACTATTTAAAATGACAGCCACCTAACACAGAAAATAAAACGAAATGCGGTAATTTGGTAAATGCCAGTGGGAGTTTGACTGTGAAGCCCCGAATGAGATAACAGGAGGGCAAGCCTTACCTTATCGATGTCCGTAATTGATTGGACTGGCTTAGCTGCCTGTGGGATTGCAGGCTAGGGATGCAGTTCCATGATCGTTTTAAGTTGGCTGAAGTGTAGGCTGTCTCTCTCTCTCCCAGCAGATCAGTGGGAGTCTGCAAGAGTTGACATAGGCTGGATCCATTAGCCTGGAAAAATCCAGTTTACGGTTCCAAATTACAAAACTGATAGTGGCATTTGCACACAATGGCTAACAGAGGACGAGGAAGTCCCTGAGGGGACTGAAGAGAGAAAGAGCTCTCTATGAGCTGAAGGTGTATCACCAAGAAGGTTTCATAAAGGTGACATTTTGACTTTGACAGAAGGAGACTCATTATCTCAATGCTTTACCTTTTTACTTTAAACATGGTCATTGAGTTTACATCTTACAAGACTGCCCTTTTAGAAGGGCTGGAAGGAAAAGAGCACGAGAACAAAAGCTCCATGGAATCTTCAAAGAAAATCAGAGAAGAAATATGCTTAATCCAGAAGAGATGAGAAAGACACAGTTAGATTTCTGCAGTAAATGAATCACCAGAGTAGAAAGGCAGAGAAGCAAAAGAAAAATGACATTTAAGTAAAAATGTGGTCAATCATAGTGAAGAGGCCTTTAGAGTCAAGGGAACATGCTGACAAAGTACTGTTTATGAGTTTTGATCAGAGAGATGTCATTTTCAGTTGAATAGGGGAAGACATTCTGGATTTTATCAGAAAGTGAAATCTTTGTATCTAAGAACTGAAAGTGGGAAGCAATTTTTTTCCAGAAGTTTTTAGTGATTGTGTTTAAGGAAAAATAAGGAGAGTTGTAGGTATAAATATGAAAATTTTTCTTTAAGCAGCATTTCTGACTCGTTCTGCCTCGCAGAAACAGTAGAGTTGTATGTATTCTTTTTCCAAAACACATCTCGTATATAACCTTATATCTGTCAGTAGCGCTCTGCTAAAGAAGTCTGTGAGATCCAGGGTTCAGTTTGAAAATGTCTCTTTTGTGGTAATAGGTCTGCTTGCATAAGAAAATATTATTTAGAAGCATTGGCAGGACTACTCCTTACATTAGCATTGCTTCAAAATATAATTGAATCCCGAAAGAATCACTCTATTTTTCTTTAAATATTTAGTTATGGGTGATAATTCAGTACCATCTTTGTTTGACCAAGGAACCACTAAGACATATCAAATACCTATTGGTCACCTGGACTACAAATTCATTGAAAAATGCACAGATGTTAAACACCTGGAAAAGATTCTCAGGGTATTAAGGTAAACTTTACCTTTTTTTTAAACTTCATTATTAATTATATTCCTGTTCTGTAAAATTCACAGGGACTTCGGCCTACGTATTCTATTTGTCTTGAACCTTTTTGTGACTTACGTATTTAACAATTAGAAATTAAAATGCAAAGTTTAAGTAATTGTGTTAAAAGTGTCCACATGATAGCATTAGAAATCCAAGTCATCTTTTAATCCACCAAACAGGTTTAAGTAATTCAATGCCAGCTTTTTCTAAAATGCTGCCTCTGGATCTTGGTTCTGTCATGAAACTGTCTTGCTTGAAGGTCTATGGTAATTTCACATGTCATGCTTATTTAACTTCTGCTGCAAATGACAAGAGTATTTTTTATTAGCACTGCGATGATAGTTTTTGAACTGCATATTTTTGTACTTTAGAAAGTGAGTAAAAGTTAACTCGCTATAAATTTCTCATCAAAATGCTATTACATGTAGTTGAATTCAGTTATGGCAGGAAAATAGTCTTCGGCAGTCACCGTGGAATTCCTAGAAATATTGAGATTTGTGGGGAACATTGTGTAGTTCAGTTCTCTTTTTGTAACTTTTAAATTCTGTCCATCTATTTTAAAGGTCTGGTGAGGAGGGATGTTATCCTGACCTTACATTATTTTGTGAAAAGCGTATTGAGCATTTGCACCCAGCGAGTAGAGCTCTGAGAAAAGATAAGCCTGCAGCCACAGCTTCTGATTTTACAGCTGAAGAATGGGAAACAATTAATGGTGAACTAATGGTATAGCATAATTCTAATTTATAGCGTTTAGTGATAGGGGTTGTAATTACTCTGACATATCAATCTTGGATGATTGTTCAGCTTCTTAAGCATAAGCAGAATGTGATTATTTGCTAGTGGTATAGCATTTTAGTCATCAGTCTTACATACTGAGATGTATTTGATAGAAGAAATGATCAGAGGAGTCTCATTTTTAATTTTTTTTCTTTTGAAATAATGCCACTGAATCTCGAATTTCCATTATAACTTTAAAGAAGTTATATATAAATAACTTTTAATTCAAAAAAGCACAAAACCATTCCAAATTACTTTTAGGAAATGCATTTTTCACAATATGGAAAGCAGCATACTTCAAGAAGATAAGTAGATGCTTTTTGTTTCTTTCTGTATTTTTAAGATCAGTTA